TATAATGTCCATTGTTTGTTCTATTTTGTTGTATGCATGTCCCGTGTTTAATATATGCTTTGCGTATGCTGAATGGTCTTTATTGTGTTTAATTGCTGTTATATGTTCTTTATATCTTTGACTGAAAGTCGAAACATGTCGTCAGATGTAAAATGTAACAAGATCTAGTATCTAATGAAAAAATGTTATAATTTTAAGTAATTTTAACAACATTTTTAAGTTTGTGTAAAGACGGTAAATAAATTATTGTATAAATTATCTTTGATCTTGGATATTTATTAGCGGTCGTTTATGTATAATAAAAATAATGTTGGCCGAAGAATTGATCCCTGTGGCACACTGTGATTCATTTATGTTGAAGCTGACACATGTTATCCTTGATTTGCATAGTTATTACCATTATAGTTTCTTATCGCGTGGTCTGTAGACTGGCGACGCATATCTTTGATTGAATCGATCATTTTGTCTTCCATGGCAGAAAATATGGTTTACCCTTGCAACCAAAGTTTCTCGCGTGTTGTCCGCCTTGTCTGTTCTTGCCATAGCGATTATGATTTTTATACCACTATGATTGTGGGAGGGCGTGTCATTCCAGTTATTACAGGGCCATAAATGTCTCCACTGAGACTGTTTGGTTAACAATGTATTTCCGGGAGCATTAACAGTTCGCCACTGAAGTGCACACAACGCAAATCTGTTAAATATGCTTCTCCAACATTTAGAAAGCATAATGCAATTAGAACATGCTCCACAACGGAACTCACAAACATTTCAAACATATAATTTAAAACTGTTGTGTTCTCAAGTTTTGAAATGAAGATCCAGACCCTTCTCTCAAATCAGAAATTGTTGCCAAATTTGGGTGCTAACCCACATGATATTTAAAAACATATAAAGTATCTCGTCTTTCATTGTTAAACTTCTCAGAGACGGGTTTTAATTTATTTATTGTATCAATCTTACTGGCAGTGGGTACAGTTTTTGTGGACATTTTTCCTTTTCTCACACTTTTCAGCTCAAACAAAAAGTTGCACCGTCTCTGTAGACAGTCTGGGAAGGTCATTATACTCTCATAATTTGACAGGGTAACGACACGATCCTCGCGAATCATTCCTGAGCTTGTTCCAGCGTCATACCCAACTGTTGTATTAGCTGCTCCACATCTCCTATTTCCATCTGAACAAGCTGAGCCTGCTCCTCCTGTCCATTGCACACAACACACTCAATACATAACATATAACAGCGGTATGGAATTTCGAATGCCTTTGCATTCTGCCCCGGCAGATGATTGCTTCATTCTGTCTGGTTCTTCACATCTCCAACTCCAAATAAGCTGGTTCCACATCACGCACACAACTGATCTTCTGAAACACTGATATTCAGACAAATTGATCTGCCATGTTTTCGTGTGACACTGTGATACCAGTCCACACACTAAATATACAGTTCACAAGAAAGTTGCAACTCAGCACATCCCCTGATCTCAAACTCCTCTTTCAGACAGACAAGGCACTCACACTGAAGCTATAACTGTACACCTCCTCGGACAGCAACTAGATGCACGACGGCCTGAGGTCTTCCTCGTGGTATCGTGAGGCATGTTACGAACAGCGTCTGCTGAATAACATATCCCTCCCGCTGCATCCTCTCTTCCATTCCTGTCTGTGCACACACTCAGTACATAACACGCAGCAGTTCTCAAGCCCTTGCCTCAAGCATAATGGAACTTTGCAAAAGTTTTGTGTTGTTGCAGTCATTTAAAATTATGGACAAAATCATTCAGCATTATCTTAATCAAATCCTATACACTTCCTGGCATAACAAATCTCTTACTACAGAATCTCAACAAGGCACCCCACCATAGATGCGCATGAAGGTCTCCAACACCCCCCCAACATCTGTCCAGAGGAATCTGTAATGTGAAAGTGTAAACATCCCTTTAAGTTTGTCTCATTTATCATGTACACTGCCTCTGTAATGAATGTTTGGAACTCGGTTCTCTTCAGGCACAGCTGCACTATCCCTTAGGTTGGCGTGGGTTCATGCCCCCTATGTCATTCCTCCCTAGTGCTAGTGCGCGGTTCTCGCCGTGATTGGTCTGGTGTGTAGATGGTCGATTGGAGTCATACTCGTTGGCTTGAGGGTTCAAACCACCTCGAGTCTGCTCTCCCTGCGACGTCGTGTGTGATTCTGTGTTATCGCGTGGTCTGTAGGCTGGCGACGCATATCTCTGATTGAATCGATCATTTTGTCTTCCATGGCAGAAAATATGGTTTGCCCTGCAACCAAAGTTTCTCGCGTGGTATCCTGCTTGTCCTTTGCGTGCTAACTCACATGTTCCTTCAGCCTATCTAATATGCTATTAAAAGAATGTAAAGGATGTGTACTGGGAAGTTCATTATACTCACATGAATTAGTGGCTTTCTTTCAATCTCATTCTGATACATCCTAAAATGTGTTTCTGCCTGATGTAAACAGGTCAGAATCTTTTGAAGTTTACTCTGTACTCCCCTTTTCTTCATTGCC